AGAGAGAACATTGCAAACTCCAAACAGACAGTCACCTGAGGCTGGAATTGAACCCAGGCCTGTGGTGCTGTGAGGTAGTAGTCCTAAGCCACCGTGATCTTGTGAGATGCTAATGAGTTAGTTTAAAATTATTCCCAAAGTTTCAAGCATGGAGAAGCCTTGCAGACTCAGGTTTTACATGACACGAAAAGATTATCTGATTTCTTCCCTGAAGGACATGAGTGAACCAGTTAGAGAATCAGAATGACCCATTGTCTTCATGATCATTTTTAATGTCAGTATCAAAATTTTGACATTTAATTTCACTGATTATTTCTTCCTTAAAGGATATGAAAAAACTAGTAGGGTCTTCTTGGCAATGCAAAATTCTTTTTACTGAAAACAGTTTGTTTTTTGTAAAACTGAATTCAAATTCTCAATTTGCATGATGGGATCGGCATTCTTTGGTTTATTCTCCAACGAGAAGTCCATTATGTTAACATATCTCAGATACTTCAGTGATAGGACGTATTCATGGATTTAAAAGTATTGCTTTAATTTCTTGAATTTATTCTTTGGCGGTTTTGGTGCTGTTGAAGACCAGGGGTTGAAATTGACACCAAATCAGCTCAGTGTCAATTTCTGGGAAGATTCTGTGAAGCGTTTCCCTGTATAAGCTCTAGCGAGTTACCTCGCACAACTTGTCAGTGTGAATGTGCCATACCTCAGTGACACTGCATTCACACTATTGTCTTCTCACTAGTGGTAGAAGTACTGACCACTGCCAGGAACTTCTGGGTTTTGTGCCGCTGGCACTGCACTCAAATCCCGGCAGTGCGACAGGCAGTTCCATTCAGAGTGGGCCGCCACTCAATTCTAAAGGATACGGCTCAGCAGGGGAAATTGGCACCTGGCTTCACCAACCGGGACTTGGTGGCTCTGGTAGAAAGGAAGGTTGACCTCTCTCCTTAGGACCAGGAGAGGAGGCCATGGCACCAGACTCTGTCATGTTGTGCTGAAAAGGTCACTGTGGCTTTGACAGACCAAAGGAACGCCCAACAATATGGGAAGGTGGATAATGACCTTCGCCACTCTAAGTGCCACCAAATCCTCTCTGCTCCTTCACGCTCGTTCAACCTCTGCCACCACACCCACCTCCCACCAAGACTGATATCTGCCACTCTATTGCATGCAGCATCTTCCTGTAATTATTCTCACCCCCAGCCCCCCTCTGCCCCAGACCACCAAACCTTCCTGCCCTTTGCACTCATTTGGGACATCTTGCTGTCTTCTCCCTCACCATTACTAACAGCTGTGCCAGCCACTTTCATCTCACTCAATCCTTGCCCTTGTATCACAGAATCATAGAATCCCGAAAGTGCAGATAGAGGCCATTCGGCCCGCCAACCCTCTGAAGAGCTTTCCAACTGTTCCAGGCGGAAGTGGCCCACAATAGGGCAGAAGGGGCCAAGATAGGTGGTAGGGTGTCTGACATGCATCTTCTGTCTGTCTCTAGAAGAGAATCCTTGCCGTAGCTGCAGAGGGCTGTGCCCACTCGTGGTGATGCTAGGATCCCCGTGTCCTGGCAGGCAAACACATCATTGACACATCTCACTCACACATAAGGCAGCATGATGGCTCAGTGGTAAGCGCTGATGCGTCACAGCACCAGGGATCCGGGTTTGATTCTACCATCGGGCAACTGAGTGGAGTTTGCACGTTCTCCCCATGTCTGCTTGGGTTTCTTCTGGGTGCTCTGGTTTCTTTCCACAGTTAAAAGATGTGCAGGTAAGGTGCGTTAGCCATGGGATATGCAGGGATTGGGTGGGATGCTCTTCAGAGGGTTGGTATGGACTTGATGGGCCAAATGGTCTGTTTCCACACTGTAGGGATTCTATGATCTCTGCAGCTCGTTTGAGAACAAAATGCCAGGGGGTGCTGGCACTCAGAGGGCTGCCAGAGACAAAGCACTACTCAGGTCCAGGCAGAAGGGGATGTGGTGGTGATCCAGCACACTTGATGCTCCCTGCACTCTATCATTCTCGCCACTGGTGCTCAGCAAGACCTCACTCCAGGTGCCTTTTCCCTCACAAGGAGATAGGGCACCCAGCCAGAAAATGACCCACACACAGATCCCTAGCCTTCTCCTCGAGGACACCCCAGAGGTACATTGGCCCTCCATCTCCTCTCTGCCTGCTGCCCTCTACCCTGTGGCATTTCAAGCAGTGGGGGTGTGGAGGAGGTGCGCAAGCATGTATTTGGGCAGGATGGCCTCACTTTGTCTCAGCCTTCTAGCTACAAATGCCCCCTAAAGAACTGAAGACCAACAGGCCCCACCAATGCAGGCGTCCTCCACGCCAACTCTGTTTTGATTGCACATTTGTGATTTGGATGGTGATGGAAAGCAACAAAGTTAGAGCTTCATGGAGTAAGTCGCAGGCTCGGCCTCTCAGTCTGGGTGCACCCCCCCATCCCCAAACCTTCATGTTCCTTTCTGCATTGAAATTGACTTAGGACGGTCTCCTTAATTTGACTAGGACCGCTCCCCTTACACTCTGAGAGATGGTGATTGGGTGGAAGCACATGCAGTGTGCTTGCCAGGTGTGATGGAGGTATGGGATTGACACAGCACAGTGCCATACAGCACCCCCTTGTCCCACCCCCTTGTCAGATCACTATGGAGAGCCATGGCAGGTTTCCTGACTTTGTATCTGCACTAAAACACTCGGCAAGGCAGGAATAATGTGATGCTGTAAGTTCTGAATGAGGGTTGCAGTGCACAAGAGGACAAGGCAAGGTAGAGATGCTGCAAACTAAGAGAGTAAACGAGGTAGCCCTGAGATGCGTGCTGCCCCGATGCATGGGATCGGCTCCCCTCTGTGTGTTGAGTGCAGCTTCACAGCAGCCTTAACAATCTAAGGTGCTAGTGGGCTGTAAAATGCAAGATGAAAGCTGTATCCTAAGTGAGTGGGAGATGTGCCCCGAAAACACGGTGAGGCTAGTGCATGATGAATGCCAATCTCCACGAATGATCTGTACAGTGGTACTGCCTGTGGAGTATGCCTGTAGCTCCTGGGAAATGCTGACTAATGTAGAGGCTTCGAGGAGCACATACCAGCTACTCCCTCTGACATTAAAGTGAGGACTGTTGGTGTCTACCTTTCTGTGCAGCGGGGGAGGATATCAAACTGCATAGAAATGGGGTGAGAAAAGGTAGCATAGAGATGTAAATGCAAAAAAAAATGGCCTTTCACTGCTTGCTAGTGAGATTCTCATCTCGCCATTCAAACCTTGGATGGAAAATTGGATTATTTTCCTGGACACCAGGAGTGTCAATTTTCCAAACTCCCTGCAATTTCCCAACTAACTAGCCACTGGAAAAGTCCCACCCCGTACCTTTCCAACATTTGTCACCAGTATCAGCACCAGGTCAGCTATGGGTTAGATGCTGAGCATTGCTTCTACCATTCAGGTGCTTTTACCCAGTGTCAGAATAGCACCTCCTGGTTCACCAGTGTGACATTTGTATTCCCCTTTCCAGCATGTTAATGTTCAGGATGTGGGCACCTCTGGCTAGAACAACACTTGCTGCCCATCCCTAATTACCCAGAGGGCATTTAAGAGTTGACCACATTGCTGTGAGTCTGGAGTCATGTAGTCACCTGCCAGACCAGGCAAGGATGGCACATTTCCTTCCCTAATGCATTTTTATGACAATCAGCAATGGCCAGAATTATTAGACTTTTATTCCACATTTTTATCGAATTCAAATTTCACAATTTGCCACAGTGGGATCTGAACCCATGCCCCCAGAACATTAGCCTGGGGTTCTCCATAATGCTGCCATTTTGACCTCAGCTTCTCTGAATTGACGGTAGCTTTGTTTTGAGGGCTTGTATCAACTGAGAAAATGTTGCTTAAATTAATGTACTACTTGGCAGCTTTTGTACAGTGTCTTTCACCCGGGACAGGAGTCAAACCCATCTCCTAGACATATAAGATCATAAAGATTGATCCATCACACGCCAAGTTTGACTGATTTTGTGGCTTGTTTTAAAAAGTGTGAAAAACATGTGCCTTTAACAGGTTGTGGGAGAGGTGAGCAGGAGTCGGAAAGATAACATAATGTGAAAGCAAGCCGGTTTATTTTGAGCTGCGCAGCCAAGTGATCACTTCAAATGTTATTAGTTACAAACTTGTGTGAAACAAAATCATAGTAAATATAGTTCATTGGATGTTAACATCATGCATGATTATTTGTCCTAATAATGATAACTAATTTTATTATATTAAGATCAGATATTTACAAGAATACTGGAAAAGTGAAGTTTGCCTACCTCAGCAGATTCACCTTAGGGTTTAGAGAGAGATTAAGAGGTGTCTACTCAAAAAAAACTCTCTCAAGTGCCCACTCTGTTCAGTAGTGTGTATTGTGAATTCTTTTTCTCCTGATTTCTGATAGTTTTTTTTTATTAAACCTTTATACTTCATTCTAGCCTTAAAAACTCAGTGAAGGTTTATTTATTGGTCAAATGTTCAGCTATCTCTCCTGACATTGTCATTATGTTTCAGCACCCATTCCACCACTGTATTTATTTACTGCTATCTTTCCCTCCATATCCCCCATCCCTCTGCAGTTTCCTTTGGGATGTTTATATATATTTATAAATGTAAATTGATTTTATTCCATATTTGGTGATTGCTAGCAACAGCACCAAGAGTGAACACAAGTGCTAATTGTTGTACACCAAACCAGTGACATAGCTGCCAAGGAATAACAAGTCTGACATGATATGTTTATTGTCAATGTTGATTTGAATGTTGTAAATGTTAAATAATGTGGTCAATCACACACCAATTTTCCTACTCTTGTCGACCTTAGAACTAAAAGAACATGCTTTGATCAAAAGTTGACCTTCAGTATCCATCATTGTCACAAGATGTTGATAGCGCTTGTGCTTTCTGTTCTCACAGTTAAGTGCTTTTCAACAAATCCCCTAAGTTCTCTTTTCTTGTGACAGGAGTACGGTACGGGCAGCAAGCCTCCAATGATGTTGTGCCTACATCTGTTAGCCATCAGAACAACAGCACCATGGTGACAACTCACACTGTACTGCAGCCTGTCTCTCCTCCAGGCCTGGAGCCAAGCCATAGCTTGTTGACAACGGATACCAAATTGGTAAGTGTGTCAGGAATTGTACGAATCGTATTCAATTACAGAGGATGGTGCTGTCACCGGACAAATGAAGATGTGTTTTCACTGCACTCTTATTCCACAGGCTCAGTCATCAAATGTGCTCATATCATACATTTTAGATTGATTAATTTTTATATTGGTAAGGCAAACCTGGACAGGAAGTATACAGTTAGTGTTAGGGCCCTGGGGAGTGTTGCTGAACAAAGAGACCTTGGGGTGCAGGTTCATAGTTCCTTGAAAGTGGAGTCACAGATAGGCAGGGTGGTGAAGAAGGTGTTTGATATGCTTGCCTTTATTGGTCAGTGTATTGAGTATAGGAGTTGGGAGGTCATGTTGCAGCTGTATAGGGTATTTGTGACACCACTTTTAGAATACTGTGCTCAGTTCTGATCTCCCTGCTGTAGGAAAGATGTTAAGCTTGAAAGGGTTCAGAAAAGATTGACAAGGATTTTGCTATGATAGGAAAGTTTGAGCTATAGGGAGAAGTTGAATAGGCTGGGGCTATTTTCCCTGGAGCATCGGAGCCTGAGGGGTGATCTTATAGAAGTTTATAAAATCATGAGGGACATGGATAGAGTAAATGGAACGTCTGTTGCGCAGAGTAGGAGAGTCCAAAACTAGAGGCCATAGGTTTACGGTCAGCAAGGAAAGACTTAAAAGGGATTTGAGAGGCAACATTTTTGCACAGAGGGTGGTGCGTGTATGGAATGAGCTGCCAGAGGAGATGGTGGAGGCTGGTACAATTACAACATTTAAAAGGCATCCGGATGGACACATGAATAGGAAGGATTTAGAGGAATATGAGCCAAATGCTGGCAAATGGGACTAGATCATTTTGGGATATCTGATTGGCATGGGCAAATTGGACTGAAGGGGCTGTTTTGGTGCTATATAATTCTATGACTCTAAACTCTGTGTTTTTATTCAAAACCTTGAAGGGCTTGCAGTTTGACAGCAATCAGAACTGCTGCTATTATAGCCGATAGATTTTTGCTGGTGATGATTATTGTAAGTGCAGTGCCAGCTAAAATTGAATGCAAGTTGACTTATGATATACTTAAGTAAGAGTGGATTTTGAATAACTGTGGCATAGTTCTATGATCAGTTCATCTCTCCAGGTCAGGGATAGCTCTGGCCAGTCTATTGATTACTCCTTCACCTGAAGGTTAATTGCTTCATCAGCACCAGTTTTCACCTGGATTAACCTCATTGAGAACTCCCAATTCTCGTCTTTTTATCTTGCTTCATCTAACCCAAAAATAAAATCCACTCATTCAAGACTGGCCTTACGAGGGAAAAGTATTGGCCAGGCTGTTATCTATTCAAAACAGTGCCAAATGGGATCTTTCAGGTTAACCTTAGGGGGCGAATGGGTTGGTGCTTCAGGTCATGCGATAGGTGCAACTCACTGCATTTATGGAATCATAGAATCATAGAACTTTCTCATACAGAAGGAGGCCATTCGACCCATCGTGTCAGTACCGGCCAGGCACTGAGGTGAATTTCTTGCCGGGCAATGACAAGTTGCTAATTAAGCAGCGTTATTGCTTGTTCAATGCCTTATTTCCAGCCCAACTTAGTCTTGTAAAATTCATCTTCCAATCATCCAATAAGTATGCCAAATGCCTGTTTGACCACCTTATCAACTTGTGTTGCCACTTTCGGGGAACTGTGAAACTGTATGCTTAGATCCCACTGTAAGTTGATGCTACTAAGAGTTCTACCATTTATTTATCTGTCCACGTATCTGTCCTACAGTGTTGGGAGGCCTGTCGTACGATCTCATCACAAAGTAATTGCATCCTTCCTATTTCTGAGCTGTAGCCATATGGCCTCACTGGATGAGTCCTCCCAAGTTGTCCTCCCTCAGTACAGCGATGATATTCTTTCTTATTAGTAGCAGTAACTTAGTCAACTGGCAGAAGGAAAGAAATATCATCTTTTGTAACACCAGATGGGCTTTATCAAGGCAAGGTTTGGAATGAAAAATGTGCCATTTCCAACAATTAGCCAATAAAGTAACAGACAGACTGTTGTCTACATTGGTGGTTTAGTTATTTTTAGATAAACCTGGGTAAAACATTTACACCACTTGACTGAATTCTTTGATTGGTGGCAAAAATGCAGTTTGGTTATAAAGCTGGCCAAGAGTGAATTTGCCAAAGTAAAAATGACATATTTGGGCTACACTGTGGAACAAGGCAAAAGTTGTACGTACAGAAGTGAAAGCAAGTGGTATTTTGGATTTTCCCATGTCTAGGACAAAATGTGAAAATTTGCATTATGCTCGCATGAGTGGTTTTTACCCCATCAGTCCCGAACTTCAGCATTGCTGTTGCACCTTGTAACAAATTTATTGAGGAGAAAGAGAAAACTTGAACGAGTGCAGGAGTATCAGAGTGTCTTTGAAAACCTGAAAGCTGTGCTGCCAACTACACTCACTTTATCCACAACAAACTGTGAGAAGCCATCCAAGCTGGCCATTCATACCAGTAACAGCACTGTAGAGACTGTTTTACTGCGAGATGATGAAACGGGGATCGAACAGCCTGTTAGTCATTTTTCAAAGAAACCGATAGCATGTCAGTAAAAATATTGAATGACTGAGAAGAACACAATGAGTTTTGTGATGGCTTTACATCATTTTGAAATATACATTACCAACAATGTGGAAGGTCCTGTTGTTTTTATCGAACACAATCCTTTGATTTTCTTTGAGAAATTTCGAGACTCGTAGTTTTGATTATTTCGCCGGAGCTTAATTCTCTGACCATATAATTTGAAAATTGTCCTTGTGCCTGGAAAAGAAAGTGTTATGACAATGTTTTATCAAGAGCACCTATGAAGGATACCGAGTGAAGTGATTCTCATTGACTTATGTAAAATATGGTTGGTTGGCAACTCACAGTAGGAACATATTGACATTGAACCTACAATATGTGGCATGGAAATAGTGTTCAGGTAATTTTTGGATGGATAATTAAAATACCTCCCAAGAGCATATTTTCATTCTTAAGTGGGGCAGTTGCAGTGCAAACGGTGTGATTTATATATATTATAATATTGTTTATTTTTGAGTTTGGATTTTTAACTGGTGGCATGTTGGTTTTGGTCTGTGCACATGAGGGAATTTAAAGATTAACTTCTCAGTTTTTCTAGAACCTGGGTTTTTTTTAAACTTGTATGGGAGAAGGAGTGCCTATGGTAATAACAAATTTGTTTGTGTCAGGGGAGTTTTATGAGCGGACAGAGTAAATATTATGGAGTATTAGCTTGTTTTCTATGTAGAAGGATCAAGGTTGTTTTTGTCAGGAGGGAGGAAAGCCCATAGCTTAGAAAGTTCTTGACTTCAGTTTGCACAGGTCCTGATGGAAGGTAGGTGTACTGAACAGTTTTTCCTGAAGAAAGGTGCTGGTTTAGTTCTGTTAGGAAATGCTTACCTCAGTATGAGAATGACAAAGACCAGGAGATGAAAGTAACAGAGATAACAAGGTGTAGAGCTGGATGAACACAGCAGGCCAAGCAGCATCAGAGGAGCAGGAAGGCTGACGTTTCGGGCCTAGACCCTTTTTCAGACCTTTAGATGTGATGGAAAACTGAACTCCATCTGATGTTTGAATTCAATAATTGTTGATGTTGGGATAGATGGGGTTATATTTTTACTGAGAGTTTTTAAATCTTTTAAATTGTGTTATATATAAATAGCTTGGTTTATTCTGTTTTAGCTTCATTTCTTTTGCATAATTAACTTCTATTGTTAAAACCAAATCTATGGTATTATGTTGTTGTGTTTCAGTGAAAGGCCACCTTGTTAGATCATATTTTGTTTTGCTTTCTTTTCAGTCAGGCCAGATTTCAGTCTGCGATCTGCCTTGTCCAGTGAAAACATCAGCTAGGATCAGGACACGATTCAAACTATGTCCCTTTCCCCAATCCCTCCTGTGCCCACTACAGTTCCTGCTTAAGCAACAGCTGAGTTTCAGAATTACCTTTCATGTTTTCAAACTCCTCCATGGCTTGGCTCCTCTGTAATCTTCTACAACCTGACAAGCCTCTGCATTTTCTGCACTCCGCTAATTTTGGCCTCTTGAAGAACCCCAGCTTTAATTATTTCACCATTGTGTGGCTGTACCTTCAGCTATTTTGACTCTTTGCTGTGGAATCCCCTTCCTGAAACAGTCCTCCTCCCTGTTTACATTTCTTGCTTCAAAATGCTTCTTAAATCTTCCCTCTTTATCCAAACTTTTGATCACTTGCCCCAGAATTTCCTTCTTGGTTTGCTCTAACTCAGTTTAGTAACACTCGTTGTAAAGTGACTTGAGAAGTTTTGCGATGTTAAAGTGACTTTATAGATACTTGTGGTTTTGTAGACTGTAGCGGCATGATATAAATTTGAGTCTGTTTTGGAAGTAGTGAACTTGAATTTTTCTGTGGGGATCTTTTAAGTTGAATGTACTCTGATGCCAACTGCTACCAGCTGTGGTTGGAATAGGTAGCTCCTGCAGTCCTCTTTCCTTGACTGGGTTGGTACAGCTATAGAGGAAAACCACGAGTGACTCTTAACAAGTGACGCTTGTCCTAAACAAGATGTAATTTATTGTTGATAGCAATCTGGCACAAGTTACATTAGGTATTAGACTTTATTACCAAGTCTACTGGGGGACATGTGGATATGGGTCTCCTCCTTACAAGATCCTAAGATATTTTACCTTTCTCTCTCCCCCCCCACCACTTTAGTTCTTATGGAATCATCAGATTAGGTAGTGCCTAATGCAGTCTCTAACATTAACCTTTTCAAAACCATTGTCTTATACGACATTTTAATCTGTCAGTTCTGGTATCAACCTCATTTCCCTCACTTAAGGGTGGTGGGACATCATCAGTGTAGATGTGTTGAAATAACAACTTTGCTGAGTTTTAAAAGACTCGCTTTTAATTAATACTGAGTTTATATATTGCCCAATTAACAAGTAGGTTAATATGAAAAGCATAGGCAAATACACTAGCTATTTCACTTGCAAAAGATACAGCAAACCCCAACAGGAGAAAAACCTGAGAACTTGCTTTTCTTGGTGTGTTGATGAGAAAATCAGAATCCGCAGCACCAAGAGAACGGACTGCTCTTCTGCAAATAGTGCTTCAGAAAGCTAATGGCCACAACTTTTTAGAAGAGCCGTTCAAACTGAATCAAGCTGACTCGAGATATGATAAAGTCTCTTTTTCTCCCCTTTCAAACTCAGAGGAGGGTGCAGTAGATGAAATCTGGGCTGCTGGGCGGTTGTCAATACAAGTTAATTTTACTTGTTTGGATTCTCGTTACTGACTGTTCGAGGAGCTGAGCCAAGCTAAATAGGCCTGAATGATCCCTTCAACAGAATCAAACAAAAGCAAACATTTCACTTTTACTCGCATTGCTCAACTTGACAACTTAGACTGTTGCAACTGAGCTTGGTTGTGCCCCTGGAATGAGATGCCAGTCACAACACAACACACATGAGGTCAGAGTACAGCTATACTGAAACCAATGCCAGGCAATGATCCTCATTCTGTCTCTTTCCTGCTCCCATTGCAAGAGTGAGGTGGTATTCAAGGTGAGTTTGGTCCATACGATGCAATGGCCAGCACAACCTCCTAACATAGTCATTTTAATTCTGAGGAAATTCTCCACCTGCAGCAAAGTAATGGGTTGAAATTGGGCTGTGTGATGTCAGTACCAGTCATTTTGCAAAAGTAGACCCTCATTTTGCTGCAATACTGACGTAACTCACTGCATTTGTTACTTTTGGTCCTGTAGCACCTGTTCATTAATTTTGTCAGTAGATTCTATCAGTAACTAAAGAGGGAAGCTTCAAGCATTAGAAATTTGCGCCGAACATTTTGCAATGCTAGTCAGTGTCTTAATGTTAATCCTAACATGTTTTGCAGATATTTCCCTCATCCGGCAGTTCAGAGATCATAGAATCCATAGAGTGTGGAAACAGGTCATTCAGCACAACAAGTCCACAATGACCGTTCCAAAAAAAAGCATCCCACCTCGACCCATTCCCCTACCCTTTCACTCTATTTCCCATGGCTAACTCACACATCCCTGGACACTATAGCACAGCCAACCAACCTAACCTGCACATTTTTGGACTGTGGGAGGAAACAGGAGCACCCGGCAGAAAGAGAACATGCAAAATCCACACAGACAGTTGCCCGAAGGTGGAATCAAACCTGGGCCCCTGGTGCTGTGAGGCAGCGGTGCTAACCACTGAGCCACTGTGGAGCAGGTGTGACTTGAACCCAGCTTCCTGGCTCAGAGATAAGAATAGTACCACTGTGCCATAAGTCCTCAGCTTGCAAATTCAGACAAACTGGCTCTGATATTTCTTGGAAGACCTCCCATTGATCAGGGGTGTGGGACGTTGTGCTTTTTAGTTCTAGCTGGGGAAACAGCAGGAAGTGTGCTCACTCTTGAGGTTTTTTTTTAATGATCAATGCCTTTATGGACAAGTACAACCTTCCAGTTAAATAGTGACAGACAGTAACTTGAACATGCGTGGTTGTCATAAAGTGGAATGAAGGTCCTTTGGAAACGATCACATACGAGCCAGTGTAGTTGTATGAGACAGGAACATGGGAGCAGCACTGAAATATTACTTCGGTATAAACTGATCATGCACATTGTAACTGGAGAAATTCTTTCTGTCAATAATTTTATGCAAAACCTGAATAGAATTTGGGTTCATCTGACAATAAAATTATTATTGGGGGAAATTGCACCTTGATTTATGGCAATTGATTCAGTCATTGGCTGAGCTGGTATGCTCCCTACTCAGAGCAAAGAGTTTCTGTGAACAGGTCCCCGTTCAACCCCATCACCATATACTCACTTCAGCTGATGTACTGTGGTAGCAATGTGTACCATCTACGATATACAATGCAGTAACTTATCTGACAATACAATGGCTTTAAGAGGTTATTTTGTCCCTTTCTTAAAAGAGATACTTTAAGATAGAGGTACCAAGCTGTTTATTTGGGAAGCCAACAAAATAAACAGCTTGTGAGGCCTTGGTTTTTTTTTTAAAATTGGAACAACAGAAGCAGCCTGAATGGGTGTGGTCAAGTTCTCACAGAACCAGGATTTTCACTTTCTTAGATCTTCAGTAACAGTTATTGCTGTAGGACATCTCTCCCTGCTGCACTCTCTCAGGGTTCTCCTGATGTTTTTCCTCCTGGGCTGCTGGAGTTGCATGTGAGACAGTCTATTTTATTGACTTTGCCTTTGCCAAGAATGTGTTTATGAGATGTTATTATTTTGGAACAGTTAATTATTAGTAGTTACTACATCTATTATTTTGTGAAGCATTTTGTTAGAGCTACAGCTAAGCCAAATCTTTTCTTTCTGAAGGGTCTAGGCCCGAAACGTCAGCCTCTCTGCTCCTATGATGCTGCTTGGCCTGCTGTGTTCATCCAGCTCTACACCTTGTTGTCTCTTTTCTTTGTTCTGTTTTGCTGTATTTTAACTATAGCGTATGAATAAATTGTGTTTTGCTTAACGTTGAGTAGTTTGACCAATTGAATTGCATCTGGAACACAACACCTGAC